ACAATTCGGAAGATGATGTGTGTACTCATTGGTTGGATCAATGGTTTGATGAGGTATGTAATGAGGATAATGTAGCGAGCAAGTAAACTCGCGCTAAACGTTTAACAAACTTTTCGGCCCCGTTATATTGACTAGGGACTGAACGAAAAAGACCTGGCGGACGAGGAAAAAGACATGATAAGGCTATGGAACAGATATCTATCGCAATTGGAGTACGTTCGTACAGTCGCTACGATTAACCCGAGCGTGGATTTACAGTTTACTGACGTCGTATTTATCTGTCGTATTACAGAACCAATGGCGATTGTCATTTGTCGGGCCTATGCATTCAATTTGCGAAAACACGGGCTCGAGACATTTCGGCGTATAATCTAAGAATGGCTTTTGCAAGACACTTGCTTCAGATGGCAGGGGCTCAAGTGATCGATGGGAATTGCGTCGCCCATTGCCTTCGCTTAGTTGATAGTATAGCTGATGGATCAGGAGTGTAGAGTGGTGCCAAGCCTAAGAGCGCAAGGCATCGGAATCGCAAATGCGAAAGTTGGCGAAGGACAATAGACATTGTGTTGAACGGATAATGCGACAAACGATTTGCTAATATTGGAAATTATATACAAGAATTCAACATCACTGTATATCACGGATAAGCCAGTTGTCGGCTAGTTTGTTTATTAATTTTTGGATTTGGAATAAAAGCAGGTTTCTTCAATCCTGGAACTGTTGTAAAACGTTCTACAAATGCAAATTTCATAACAGGTGAAAAGTACGTTCTTACTCAGTCTACCAAAGACGAGTTCATACGAGTACCTCAGTAACATTGTCAACATGCAATTTTCGTATTATCTTCTCTTTGTTATTTTGCGCCTCAATATTAGTTTCTAAAGCGAGACGCTGAAGAAATAGAACAAAGTCTAGGAATAGCTATATGTATACCGATACCGCATGTCAAGTGAGATAATTCAACCACGCGTTTGAGCAAAGATTATGTGTACGTTACATTACCACTACATCAAAATTCTTTGACAATTTTGTGTTCGGTTGGTGGGCTTTCTCAATTTTTTTGAGCGTCGCGCGAGGATATAAGCGAGCCATGTTTTGCTTTGATTTAAAATAAAACTGGTTGTGGATAACGATAAAATAATAATAATAATAATAACAATAATAATAAACGACGATGTCATAACCCAAAAGGGCAGGTGACTGTTACATGATCAGCAATGTGAATACGCGTGTCGCGTAATCCGAGTATTACTGATTACACCCTTGTCGTTAATAACGTCTTACTGTAATTGCCTTTATTGAAGACATCAAACGTTATTTTCTCTGAGCAAAATTTTAGCTTACAAAGTTAAGATATTTTGTAGTAGAGCGGTATTATCTTTTTTTTTTCAGATTCCTTAAACATGAGCGCACGAATTCAATGGCTACGGGTTTATTCTTTTTCTTGTAACTAGTCGCATATGTATCCAGTCGTTGTTTTCTTGTGACCCTAAAGTATTATTCGTCTTTTAAAACATTTGAATATATGTTCGCTTTATACGTCTCGTTGGAAGCCGTATAAACCCGCATCAAAGTAAAGACTCGGCGCGCGCTAAATGAGGAAATTATCGTACAAGTTGGAATCTTTCTTTATGTGCAATTTTTTAAAAAAAGTTACCAAATATTTCTATAAAATTTTAACCGTCAACGCGCTTAGTTTATTAATTTGTGGTTTGGGTAAAATTAACACGTCATCAGAATTATCGCGTTCGTTGGATTGACTAATAAATAGTACACATTAAGCATTCGAGTTTCTATGTTTACCTGAGCACTTTGTTCTTATTTATTTCTCAGTACAAATAATAAATACAAAACCGTTAATATATTATGTTTAAGTTGTTTCTTTAGCACCACAATGTGTCCAAGGCTCAATAATTGTTGTCACTAACGCAACTATTTTGGTGCGCAAATTTCATGGCAACGAATACTTAACTTTTTATTTATAAAAAACGAGACAATATGGTGATGTCGTAATAATAATTATGTATTGTACATATGAAGCATACATAAGTACTGTAGTCGTACCGTTAATTCTGCTGTTTAAAGCTATATCTCGTTTTGCATACATGCCTGTCCATAATATTTTGACATCGCCAAAACATCCAAACTAAAAAATAGTCATGTTTGTTTTAGGACCCGTTTTTTCTTATCCAAGACCTATTGCGTGCGTAATCTGGATAGACTTAATGACTGACATAATTTCGTTGTTATTTAAACAATGACGCAGACAAGGAATGGTAGTAGCAGAACTAGAAATAATGCAAGACGTTATATTGACCTCGTTGAGCGTAACAGGATAATGGGAGTAATCATCATTCCTTGATGTAAGAGCAATACTTAAAGAGTGAAAGCCAGGCATAGCAAAACTTGTTGCGATCAAATAGATTTACAGCGAATACAATATACACTTTCCGCAAGAACACTGCAATCTTAACGTCTCTTGGTCGATACTCAATATTGTCATATATTGCTTAATCATGTATGCATTGCATTAATCAATTTTGTACATTTGTTTATTTACATGAGGTTTGTGGGAAAGGACCAAGTCATGACTATATTTTTTCATATCACTAAGATTTACGCGCTCGAAAAAAGTGCCATGTGGCTAAACAATATCATGTTGGTGTAACAGCATGTAACATATCTCGCTCTACTTCCATCACTTTTTTTGAAGTATATTTATTCTACTCTTGCTATTACCGGCCTTAATAAAAACGCCGTCTCCAGTAAGTCACACGCAATGGCAGGACATAGATTTCCCAACGGAATGCCTGCTCCGAGTAGAGCACACCTTTTCTTGGCGAGGTTACTTGGAGGATCTATGACCTTTTGTAAGTGAAAGACCGAAAGGTCAAACTAGTATACAATACTATATATGAAGGTGTAATTCATTCGAGGATACTTGCATTAATCAATGCATTCGATATTTAGGGATACTCTATCGCGGAAGACAGGATATGCCAGTTGTCCTGGTAAGTTTGAGTCAAGACCGGCCTGTTTCGGACTACACTTTCGTATTAGCAGACTTTTTTTTTCTCAATATTCCGTTAATTATCACAGCACTTGAAACACCCTTGGGACCATGATGGACATCATGACAGTGACAGCAGTCATCATTGACCACGAGTCGACTTTTCAAAAGTGTAAATTACGGGTTCCAAACGACAATCTTAGTGTCGTGATATAGAGTCGACTTTATTTGTCTTAAATTGGGTATACAGATACTTAATTTATGCATTCGAGTATTGTTTCTCTAGACCAGTACTAGAAGGATGAATAAGAATATATATCGAATCCCAAAAGTAAGGGATTCATCTTGTCTACAAACAAGGTTATTACATATCTCAAACTGTTAACCCCCCCTCTCAATAGTTCCCATCTGTATTAATAGTCCTCTCCCACTCACCAATGGAACTAAAGATTAAACATTCTGCATGCAACTTTGAGCCTCTACATCATAGTCTTTTACCCCTGATTATTTCCTCAAAAACAAATCTTTCTTATGTTCAATATTTAAGAATTTCAATGTGTTTATCCCCAGCAACTTTTCCTTGTCTTCTTCACTCAGCCAATCACATTGATCGATTAGTTTACCTGGACAATGCTCACCAAGAGGGAACGGATAATCACTTCCGAGCATAATACGATCAATGCCCATCTTCTTTACTAGAAATTGGAGGGTGTCTTCGTCATGCACTAAAGAGTCAACGTAGATTCGGTTGATATATTCTCTACAACGACAGTAGACGTGACTTGTTACTATCGTATATGAAAATCTCAAATAAACAATAAACGACTGAACGGATCGACTGTAGTAAATACTCATCATACAAGGGATTTTTTTTTATCCTCACTGCGCACAAGTCAGGCCTGACATTGAATCCGTGAATGATACGCCCAAGCGTAGCCGGAAAGGATCCTCCACCGTGAGCAAAAGCGACTTTTAATCGAGGATGGCGTTCGAGTACACCACCGAATATCAGGGAGCAGATGGCTATCGTTGTTTCACATGGCTATTGAAAAAAAAACACAACATAAATGGGAATGGGCGTGATAACAAAGGAAATGGAACAATAAGATAAAATAACAGAGGGTGACGGGTTACCATGCCGACTAGCCTGGGTCATATATAACAGAAGGTTAGAATACAATGATTTAACTTGCGCACGACAATAGGAAAAAAAAATAGACAAACAGAGTTACATGTATAATAATATTATTATTACCATGGAAACCAATATTTTTCCATTCTTCCTTTGTTTTCCATGTCCTAGTTTCAAATAGCATGTATGAACAGAACCGGTTATTGATCTTGTTTTCTTGTTACAAAAAAAACAGATACCCTCTTGTGTATTGGCATGTGTCTTACCCATGGATGCACAAAGACCGCAGCATTGAGTTCTTCGCATGCCTTTTTTGATTGATGAAATACCAATTATGTTACATTATTTTCTCATTTGAACCCGATCTTCCTTCTTTCTTCTTCTTTTTTCCTTCTCATGCATCTGTATCATCATCTCACATCTCCATTCCATTTACCTCCCAGATAGGTTCCAGTTCTGGAGCATCTAAATTCCAATCATTAATGTGGCTTCCTATCTGTATTCCCACCAATCCTAAATCAATAATACATCTTCTCAATTCCTCTACTGCCAATTCAGGGGCTTGCATGGGTAATGTGCCTAATCCGACGAACCGTTTAGGGTCCTCGGCACATACTTGTGCAATGTGATCGTTGAGATATCGAGCAAGATCGAGAGTATGCTGAGGCTTGGCTGAGTAGGAAAACATTACAGGAACCGTTGAGAGAACCTGGACGATGTAAACAAAGGGAGGAAAGCGAGGATGGGAGATCAGGAAAAGAAAAAAAGACTTTGTATTGCACTCTGTAACTTGCGATATCATGTTTAGCGTTACGAGTTTACGGACAGTTTGGGAAATTATAATTGTATTAGATACCTGTACATCGACTCCAGCAATGTCGCACTCTCGTACTCTTTCGTCTGCTGACCAACAGTTGCAACCTATCTCTCTAAAGTTTTTTCCGTCAAGAAGCATTCGTGCTTTTCCCTGGATGAACATAACATGGCGTGTTACGAGGATACAATTGCGCGCATACTATAGTGATCTTTCTTGCATAACAATGTTACTGACTTGTTCATAGTGATCTAGTTGTATCCATCCGCCGTACCCGTATTTTCTCTTCAAATCAGGCCAATGTTTCGGCAGAATATGGCTAAAAGTCCAAAAATAAAGATTACATGCTTTATCATGATACGAAAGATAGGGTTGATAAAGAATGCATACGTGTGGATGTCTATTTTGAGACGGCGTTTAGTGTTAACTTGATGGGTATCTAGAGCGCTCATTTTAGATGGTGCGATTAGAGCGTAGTTCGTTCTCCTGAATATGTGTTTTGTAGTAGTGGTTAGCGGGTAAGTGGTTAGTATGTATACGGGTGGGTAGTTGTAAGTAGTATGTTATGGTTAAGGAGTAAGCTAAAATCAGGTGACCGGAAGGGGTTAGTTTCTTGTGGTACAAAGTTTGGACGTTCGGAGTTTGTTGATAATAGCAATAATAATAATAATCCTGTCTTAGGATTAGTGAATAAGTAAGGAGGGGCTTTTTCCTGTATAATATGGATAAAAATGCATGACGTCAGAAAACTTGGAACGTGTGGCTATGCGATGAGAAGGTTCAACCAGACATTATTTGGGCCATTCCATGTTATCATCCTATGATCAATTCATTGTTATTTTAACTACTTTTTATGTGATTACTTATCCGTTCTGTGCGCATGCGCCAATGTTGATCCCATGTACGGATTGTGTCGGACACAGTCGGGGCCCTCTCTGGTTCATATTTCAACGTATGATTATGGTTTCAAAGGAGGATTGATATTCCAAATGCAAAAGCAAGCTAACGGCGTACTTTAAGTGAGAGTAGCAAGCAATGACAACGCTAACAATAACAACAATAAAATACCAAGAACAAGAACGACAACAAGAACAATAACGAGCACGGAGCATAATAATTTAGGTAACGCAGCGATAGTAAATGATAAAAGTAGTTTATACAGTAGTCTAACATAATAGTTTGCTGCGAGTAACAAGTGACGGGTGACAACAAAAAAGGTGGAGATTACATAATATAATATCAAGATAATATCATTATTATTATTGCAAAAACCTAAAGTAATATACATATAAATATATACAAAATCGAATGTTTCAGAGTGTTATGCCGGTAGATGTTACACACTTGTCTCATTATGCCTACGTCGATACATTAATAGTTGTTTGTATTACACACATTTATACGTTTATATTCCATATGAATTTCATATGCTAGTCGCATATCCCCAGTCCAGATCGTCAAATCATTGATTTTCACCCTCATTGTTCCGTCACCATATAACACACACTTTTTTCTTCAGACTGCCCTCTACATAAATTATCTAAGCCAAACTTTTTATTGGCCAAATACCCAACCTTCTCTTCCTTCCCACTAGCTTTGGGGGTGACTGCTTGACACTGCCCGTAACACCCCCAAAGAACTATTAAAGACGTATACCACTCGATACATCACGCAAAAATAATCCCTCTACGCGCACACCCAACAACCACGTACATACATACATACACACATACATACACGCGCATAACATACAACAATATATAATACTCTTATCATTATTATCTCCATATAATAAACAGATACTATCAGATATCCATTTAATTCTGAAGCCACCCACTCTCCTTTTCCATAAACTTTATTACGCTTTCTATAACTTCCTTGTGGAGGCAAAAACCCCACCAGTATAAATTCTAGTAAGATGATGAGCATGGTCTCGCCCACGACACCACATACTCCAAGGAGCAGACTTACGCTAGACCTGAGCGAATTACCTGTCTCCACTTCTAATAATAACGCAAGTCCTCCAGTATCCCCTAGTTTAAGCTATACCACGTATAGTGGTCTACCCTCTCCCACCCTATCTGGCTCTTGGTCTCAAACTAGGTCGCAAGCAGAGTTGACAGCACTACTCAAGGATGCTTATATTCGTATTAGAGAAAAAGAAAGAGGTATGAGGTGCTTTGGGAATTGGAGGGGAAGAAAAGGAGGCTAGAACAAGTTACTCTACAAGTGTCAAAGCCGTTTGGTTTGCAAGGGAAAAAAACCGAGTTTGTAAAGTAGTTGCAACAAACTAAGAAATTAAGGAAATTGGTCGAATTAACAAATTAGTGGCAACATTAAGAGTATTAGTTGCATTAAAACACAAGACGTATATTACTTACGTAAGACGCAAAAGAATGTTTTCGCAAAAAAGACAGGATAAAAAAAAAAAAAAGAGGCGTTATCTGAGCGAATGCGATGCGATGCGATGCGGCAATGAAGTGTAGATGTGGTCACAAGAACGAATTGTTATATAATAATCTGCATATATATACACAATATATATATAATATATGTGGTAGTAAGTGAGCGATAGATAGTGAGAAACTTTACTAAACTTACGCAGCACGTGGATGTAAAAAAAATGTAGATCTATCATCCATTTGTTACGTAACAATTATCCGCAAGCCGCTTAATAATTACGTGCTGGGTTCATCATATGACGCACAATACAATTCTAACCTGTATTCATCTTCATTTTACCTTTTAAATAACAGACCTCACTCTCGCTGCAGAAATTGGCAAAAGTCTCCTAGACAATAACAATGACCTTAAAGCAAAATATGAAGCACTCATGGTCAAGTTTGAAGACTTCCAAAAGCAGAGACAACAAAATTCAAAATTCACTATACAGGCAGCAGACAAAACAAATGTCACTAGGTTGGCCCCGCCAAATGGTTCACTCGAAACATTCGAAGAAGAACCGAGTGATTTCGAGGACGACGAGAGTGATAACGAATCCGCTGCTGGCTTCGGCGCATCTGCTCATCTACATATCGCACGTTCTCGCTCTCCTAGTCGAGTGCCATATAGGGATTACGAAGATTACAGGGAATTGGAAATGAAGAATACCGAATTACAGTCTAAATTAGACAGTCTTATTACCGAAGCGCAGGAAAGTGACAGGTTACATAAAGCCAAGCAACGAAAACTTGAAGCCGAATTGACGGCATTACAAGACACATACCAATCCGCTACTCAAAAGATCGAGGATCTTCAGAAAGAAAATGAGCGTCTTTTGCAGAGGCTGCGAAATAGTTTTTGGGAAACACGTAAAGAAAGAAACTCGGGGAACGATAATGTGATTGAAGAGCTGGCACAAAAAGTCCAAGAACTGGACATACAAAATGCAGGCATTGAACGAGCAAAAGCAGAGATTGAACGTCGTTTACAACGTACACTACAAGATCTCGAGGCATTCCGTTCACAATGTAATACACTTGAAGACAAAACCAGAGACTATGCCAATCTCCAGATAGCATATCATAAACAGACAGAGCTGGTTAACCAGTTGAGTGTATCACTAGAAGAGCAGCGAATGATAAATCTGGGATTACGGAGGTCTCGAGCAGGATCATTTAGCGACAGTGGGTTTATGCACCGATTGAGTGACGCTGCTGACAATGCTGCATTGGCCAGACCTCTGGCGGCGTCAAAGCGCAGTCTACTCGAGGAATTCGAGAGCGAATGGATATCAAATATTAAACGAGACATGAACTGGGGGTCAGGAGATGAATCTCCTCAATTCTCACCAGTAGCATCTGAAGGTGATCTTCGAGAGTTTTTACTAAAGAATGGAGTGCAGCCAGATTATGATGACGATGTTTCCGCCATTGATTACATTTCTGAAGATGAGTTTGAGTTTTTGGAAGAGTTTGATGAAGATGACGAGATAGCAATGAGGAGGAGAGAATGGTTCTGGAAGCGATGGATAAGAGCAGTGTATAGATTCTTTAGATGGATCTGGAGATGGATTGAATTCCTTTTCTTATTGTGTGCTGCCGTGGTCTTGGCATTGTATCGTGGACCTGATCATTTATTACCTGGTGACTTGTAAAGAAGTGATAACAATTTCATCGATGTGTATCATTCTCAGATCCTACAATCTTTCATTCTTTCTATTCAATTATATATCTTCAACAATTTAGACTTTTCTTTTTCTTTAAATCCAAGCTTTGTAATTCCTATCGTTACATATATTAAAAATGGTTATTTATCGTTTGAGTGTATTGACTTGTATAAATTTGACGAATAAACCTTTATCCGTGTATTATATATTCTATGTCGATTGCTATGAACTGTTTCCCACCTTCCCCACCTCCCTTCCCCCCCTTATTTCCATTACAAGTTTTCCAACAAGCTTGAAATTCTCTTCGAACAAGATGAATAAGATAATCTCATGACAAAGCGTGGGAACGGTCATGCACATACGCCCCTTGCCAAAGTTTGAATGCTGAATGACGATCATCCGACATCTGACTAGCACGTTCCTGCGACCTTTTTCTTTTATCCCTTCTTACATGCCACCAAAAAAACTGATAATTAACCGATTGCAGGCAAGTGGGAAATAACCGAGATAACTTTTTTAAAAAACGTTGTTGTGAGAGCCTAACAAGAAATTTCCAGTCCGCCAAAACCGAACAACAAAAAATTTTAGTATGGTGTTAGTGTACCACTGCATATAGTTGTGGCTTCAATCATAGGTGTTACTAATTAAGGAAAGAAGAGTGGTTATTATTATTATTCTTATTATTATCATTTCGTCCACTAAAAAAACAGCGGAATGGAAAGGACATAAGTAGTATGATCAACAAGTGTGCATTCTGCATCGCCCTCGACAGAAATCGAAATAATAATGAAGAAAATGTAAAAATTATAATCGTTCTTTTTTTTCAATGATGCAATTGAAATACTTTTGTCACGCAAATTTCCCTTTGCATGAGTTGACAGATTTTATTAGTAAGAAAAAACTCGGGTTTTTATATATGTTTATTGGTAGAGTTTGATGTTGTGCTCAAAGTTTTTGAACCAAAATAATCACGGCAATCTTCATGTTTGGAGAACAAGACATTACACGAGATAGTAGAAAACTCGTAATTAATAACAAGCTTTCTTTAACCGCTTTACATGAAGCATAAGAAATCCCGTTTGTTTGTTATATTTTGGTATCAAGTCTAGCGAACAATTTCGTATGACGTTATATCGATATGCACTTACCAATCCGAGTTTAAAGTGTCACATGACAGTCGAAGTAGGACGCGAACTATCCGAAACTCGAAAGCAATCAGAGCACAGTCTCATATCAACAATATAAACTTATGCCTTGTGATCTAAAAGTTTCAGATCTCAACCCAAGTTTGGCAAGCGTGAAAAAAAAAAGAGTTTAAAAAAATAATTTTGTTACAAAAACAAAATTAAACATGTTGGTTATTTAATTACAGAAAAAGAATAATTTTGTACATATTTTACTTTTACACAGAAATTCAACTGTTATTTGTTGAATTGTCAACTAATTGGTAATTTTCCTACTTTGGCATAAATTTTGTGCGTTGGCATCGTAACATTTCGGATTGTGCGCGACGCCACGATGCACTGCAATGTACGGTATCAACGTGTCCAAACTACAAAATGAATGCAAACGTGAAGAATTTGTATAAAACGATAATGCATTGTCGCAAAAGTATAGAATAGTTTGGAGGCTAATTATCAGTAAAGGCACAAAGATTATATAGCGTTAATAATTGATGTGATGCAAATTCATACAATTTTCTAGCAGGGCGAAAAATAATTCATTCATTGCCGGTGCAAGTTTATTATTTGAACGTCATATACAAATTAACCACTAGATCATAAGAACCAAGTAGGATTTCTGTAACCGCCTGACTTTGTTCAACAAGTCTTTGTAGGATTAAATCCTTTCCTACTTGGATGCAATCACACTGTCTCTGTCAACATAATTGTTTAGACATGCTTTGCTTGCGCATAAAGAATTTTAATAACCAAGAAATGAATGACGTCAGTGAAAGTAAGTCATGATTATCGTATGAGCAACAAGCTTCTGTTGACAGTTTGACATATAAACGACTATCCTTTTATTGGATAACAGGAAACAGTACGAACTGAATAATGGGGTCTTGTCATAATATCTTATCAGATAAATATATACGCCGAAATTTGAACTTGATATTAAACAGGACAAGAGTTACTATGAAATAGAAAATAACGCTCATTCTACAAACCGTCTTGGTATAATGTCTCTTTTCCTTGTGTCTGATCATAAGGGCAACGAAATTGCCCCTAAATACAACCACTTCCGAAACCCCTTTTTGCCTGAATAAAATGTCAATCTGCGTGGGAAAACGTGATGTCGTGGAAAACCACGTGTAAATGATGTTATGCTCTTTTTTTTCAGATGGGGCATGGAATGATAAAAATGAGGCATATTTTATTCGGTTTGCATTAAAATTAATTTTCCACTTTCCACATCTGTTCAGATCGACATACCTATTTGCAGATCTTGCCCGGGTTATACTTGTTAAAAAATATATTTACTTTATATATATCAATGTCCCCGTAATAGTAATAGTAGTAGTAATAGTAAAGAGAGCAAAAAAAAAAAAAGGGATAAATTTTTATGATGACGTAAACAAGTAAAGTATCGTGTTACACGACCTTATATTTCTTAATATGGTAAGGATGTTGTCTTTAGCTGTTTGATCAAACCCCCTAGCACTAGTGACGTTTTTTTATTTTTTGCATAATGGCTTTCCTGAACGACGAAAAGAAATTGGAAATAATCACAAAATTCTTACTAGATAGTCCTCCAGGAGAAGTTAATGATGTATATAATGGTATGTATACGGACGTCTTTGAGCCAAGTCTCACACGGCAACGATGATGGGTTGAAATATTTCGATCACACTGACTAATTGTCTAATTTGTAGACCTTAGGTCGCTTATGAACAATCCCGTAGTCTTTAAGGAAGGCGTTCTTACGGCTTTAGAACAATACAACACGGAACAATTTGTTACAGTCACGCCACCCGGACAAGAACATAATGTACGATAACGTTAGAGTACTTGTAATCTGATGCATGACATTACATCCAACGCCTCGATCAATACAATTCTTCATTCGATGCAATAATAGGTTATCATCTCCAAGTACGGCCAAATTGAGCCAAACATTTTCGTAGATCCTAAATCACATCAAAAGTTTCGCTTTGATCATATGCAACAAGTGAGTAAGTTTAATCTGTTCTCATAAAACGTAAACAAGTCCCTCATCTCTCTTTTTTTCTATCTATCTTTCTTTCTTTCTTACATGTGTTTTATCTGTAGGTTGCAACTGATCCCGAGCCATATGAACCAGATGAAGCGACAGAACCCTTGAGGTAGGTGGCATAAGAAGTCTTTGCGTATTGCGATTGTATCATATCAATCTCGGTTGTGCTAAACTGCATCTATAATCGTTATCCGCTCATCAAGGGCTGCTTTAGAAACAGCCGTTCAAAATTATATTACAGATCATTATCCCGACGGCATTGCTACCGTTTATTCAACACAAGATTCAACATTGACTATAGCAATCGTGGACAATAAATATAACCCTGATAATTTTTGGTAAATATGACAGTGTTTGATTATCTACTTTGTTCTTATCGCTAATGCTTTTTAATCACAGGAACGGCAGATGGCGTTCTGCATGGGTAATTACACCGACAACAGGAGAAATAAAAGGGACTGTTAAAGTGAATGTGCATTATTTTGAAGATGGAAACGTTCAACTCAATACTGAGAAAACGCATGACGGAACAGTAAAAATCGATGCAGAGGTATTAATTCATCTATAATACAACACACGTATCGTATATCGAACCTACTGATTCATTGAACCTTTGCGTATAGAATCCGGAAACTGCTGCTGCTGCTATTGCAAAATATATCCATAAAGTGGAAGATGATTTTCAAAAGTCTCTCAACGATGCGTACATTGAATTGAACGAGAATACTTTCAAAGAATTGAGACGAGCTCTTCCCCTAACACGACACAAGATTGATTGGGATAAGGTTTGTACATTAGTCATTATGCGGGGGGCGTCTACTGTATTTCAGTTACGCATTGTTGAGCATTCGAGATGTATTTGTTTACTGACTGATACACCGATCGTTAATTCTATTACTCCAGATTATGAATTATAAAATTGGGCAAGAATTGGCCGGAAGGGAATAGATATGAAAGAAGAATGATTCATGGGATTAATTAATGCATAGAAATACAATCACATGTTATCAGAGTGGATTATTTAAGAAACTATAATTGAATAAGATGAAATTTTGTGAGGCTGCCAAAATCTTTCCTTCCGATCCCAAGCTATTCTAAGCGTTCAACAATACGAATACATCCTTGTTCCGATCATGCCATGGTGTCACTATATTTCATTAAACAAAATACTCTGCTGCGTCATACACAAAGATTGTTTCGACTTCTGTCTGGCGTCGGGCGTTGGTTGCGCAATCTCGTGCAGAGGCTTGGTAATAAAACTTTTATCCAAACTAATGCATATCAATCTTCCATAAGATACATAGACCAGCGCGACAGTTGTCACACAATTTATAGATGGTATGCGGCAACAAGCCATCAACGTGCATTTAAATAACCGACAACGTTATATCTTCAAAAAAAACCCCCTTTGCTAATATAATTAGTTGAGCCTGATAGATAGCCTTTATATCGGCGAACGGATTATTATTATTTTGTATTCATAATAAGAAAAAAATTTTTTTATGAGTGATGAATTCGCATTCTTTTTCCGCGATTGTTTGTCTAAAATAATGCTAAATCCAAACATTTTTAGTAAACGTAAATATGTCATATTGGACACGCAGCAACAATCACGAGGCTGATACAACAACTATACTAAACCCCGGTTATACAGTAAAAAAGCCCATTCCATGGAACATGTTTCACCCGCCCGCTCACTAAAAATGCTCGATCATAACCACCTTGCCATAATCATTATCCATCAGAATAAAAAAAAACAAAACTAAATGACCAGGACAGAGAAAACTTCCAGACGAACTATCATTACCGACATTGGAAAGTGCGCAATTCGTTTTATTGACGCGCATACAACAATCACACATAGGAGACCTTACAAGTCCGCCGACATCAAAGGATACTTTTAATCTCTCTGATTGTCTCTGGTATAGAATAGTCGTGCAAAAAGACTCTGTATCTTATTTATCTGAAGACATGGTAATTAAACAAGATAATTTTGATACCAATACTGGAAGGCTCACATCAATGAGCAGGCAGGCACATAAAGCTTTGATCAAGTCGCCGACAATCCATGTCGAAGATGATAATGTTGGTCAAAGATACTCACACTCACAATCAGCACACCCTTATCTCATCGATGGTCATTGTCGCGATCTTGTCAAGGTTACTACTATTGGAAGAGAGTGTTTTTTTTCGAGGCTTATAATTTAACGAAGAGAAGGCGTTAATAAACCAAGTTGGATCTGTTATTTCAGTTACTGAAAACGTGTGCAAATTACTTGCGAGCGGACTTGATAGCGAAACAGCCGAATAAATTTCTGAAAAGATAGTAGTTGACTGATTGAGCAGTGAAGAGATATTAGCTAATAAATGCTCTAAAACCAAATCATTTCATGCCGCCAGGCCTCAAATCTTTATTTGGCACTCGATTATCTCAAACAAACAACGCAAAAAAGCAACTCTATTGGATGGTTCGAGGTAATGAATGACACATTTGTTAATGGCCATTATCATCCCGTGATCGGTCGATCTCAGGCGACAACGTTTCAAATGAATTTAACAATGGGAAATGGTTATTGCATTGGGAATGTAAAAACCAATAAGAATGATTGTTGATCAGCAGATTTCTGTGCCCAAGTTTGGGCTGCATCAACTGCTTTATTGCTATTAATTCTTTAATTAATTCTCTCACAATTCTCTAACAAAACTCTCTCCCTGTTGCTTGATGTTTCATCGGGGATGCATGATTATATGATATTGAGTAGACATGACAGTCATCCAGAATTTCAACCGTGACAGTAAATGGAAAACCCGTTGATTTCTAAGCCTTTGTTTCTTGAAAAGAGTTGGGTAACCGCCGATCCGATTGTTTAAGGTTGCTTATTAATATATCACTTGCAAAAAACGGCAGCATTAGTATGAACAACTAATCCATAATCTAAAATCAATGAAATGCTTATGTTGTCACCATTTTGAAATACGGTAGACCATACCTTATTTGCAAAACTGCGATTGGATCTAGTGAACACCATGGACAATACACCAATTATGATAGATTGGAGATTGATAAATACCCTTGATCGATCTTTTCCCCCAACTTTGAGAAATTGAAATCTCACATACTATCTCGAATCAAGTTTCGGCATAAATTTAACGCTAACGATAACCATGTCTGACACTGCAATGTATGTACTAAAAGAGAAGTTATGTGTGTCTCCCAGCATTATAAGGAGATGTCATAAAATAGGATATAGGAACATCTCCATCGGGCTAAATTTTATCTGATATGATTTCGATAGCAACTAATACTATTAATTATATCCACACTATCCATGCAGTGCTGACTTTGGCCTGATTGGCCTTGCTGTTATGGTAAGCACTATTGTTATACGCTTTGCGTCATAAATGTCAAATATTGGGTTCGTACACTGACAGTCCGGTTGTTGTTTATACAGGGACAAAACCTTATTTTGAACGTTGCTGATCATGGCTTTACAGTAGTTGCTTACAACAGAACTGTAGAGAAAGTCGATCGCTTTTTAGCGAATGAAGCCAAGGGTAAGATCATCACATTCAGACTACTAGCGGATGTTGAACGTTTGTCTTGAGAATCATGTCATCACGCAATTAATACCGACTCTGTTAATCCAGGTAAAAGTGTAATCGGCGCACGCTCGGTCGAGGAACTTTGCCGTAAGCTTAAGAAACCACGAAAAATCATGCTTTTGGTAAAAGCTGGTCAAGCCGTCGACGATTTCATCGAACAAATCATTCCTCATATTGAATCGGGTGACATCATCATCGATGGTGGTAATTCTCACTTTCCCGATAGCATCCGACGTTCCAAATATCTGGAACAGAAAGGCTTCTCGTTTATTGGATGTGGTGTTTCGGGTGGTGAGGATGGTGCTCGTTATGGACCTTCTCTTATGCCTGGCGGTTCTCCTGCTGCGTGGTAAGTATTTATGTAGGAAAATAATAACTGGGGTTTATAACGAGATGGGGTTCTAATATTTTTACCACAACCCCCGCCCTCTCCCTCCTCTCTCCCTAATCTAAATTTACTGCAAAGGCCACACGTGAAACCAATCTTCCAAGCTATTTGTGCCAAAGCTGATAATGAACCTTGCTGCGACTGGGTTGGTGAGACTGGCGCAGGACATTACGTCAAAATGGTCCATAATGGTATCGAATATGGTGATATGCAGCTCATATGTGAAGCTTATCACATTATGAAAGAGGGTCTTCACCTCGGGGCCGATGAGATTGCAAACGCGTTTGCGGGATGGAATGAGGGCGACTTGAACTCGTTTTTGATTGAGATCACAAGAGACATTATGAGGTTCAAGGATTCTGATGGAACTCCATTAGTTGAAAAAATCAAGGATACAGCTGGACAGGTGAGCTATGCTCTGCTCTGCTCTGCTCTGCTCTGCTCTGCTTTTTTGTTGTTGTTGTTGTTGTTGTTGTTGTTGTTTTTGTTGCGGTCAATTGTTAATTTATATATTTACAAATATACTCTACGTTCTCAATCTCCTTTTGCGTCCAATAGAAAGGTACAGGCAAGTGGACAGCTATATCCGCTCTTGATCTCGGGGTACCTGTAACACTTATCGGTGAGGCTGTCTTTGCACGGACGCTTTCTTCTCTCAAAAACGAACGTGTTCGTGCAAGCGAGATCTTATCGGGACCTGCAAGCAGCGGACACCAAATCGTTGATAAGAATGAATTTGTCAAGAAACTCGGCCAGGCTCTATATGCTTCCAAACTTGTCTCATATGCTCAAGGGTTTATGCTAATGCGTGAGGCAGCAAAGGAATATAACTGGAACTTGAATAACGCCGGTATCGCTTTAATGTGGAGAGGTGGTTGTATCATTCGAAGGTATGTGTCGGGAAAAAAAAATAGAACATGAATTTTTTGCGGATGATTAACATTTATTGTTGACGCGTCTCCGATATTATAGCGCTTTTCTTGGAAAAATCAAGGAAGCCTACACAAACAACCCAGCTCTTGAGAACCTTTTGTTTGATCCATTTTTCAAGAATGCCATTGACAACGCCCAGTCTTCATGGCGTTATGTAATTTCCCAAGCCATTGTAATGGGTATTCCTATACCCGCATTCTCAACAGCTTTGGCCTTCTATGACGGCTATAGACACGCCAGACTTCCTGCCAACTTATTACAAGCTCAAAGAGACTATTTCGGGTAAGTCGTTAGCAGAGAAAAAATACACGTAAACATGACGAACTTTTCCATGTCGACGTGTTCTAACTGTGGTTATATTTTACAGTGCCCATACATTCAGATATCTTGACGAATACACTGACGACAAACATCCGAAAGACCGTGATGTCCATATCAATTGGACTGGACATGGTGGTAACGTGAGTGCCTCAACTTACCTTGCCTAGTTAAATATGCATTATTTTACGCCTCTATTTTGGAGTACAGAATTAAAAACTTTTCATGTAAACATTCTATGCAAGTTGTAAAGAAATAAAACAAAGCTCATAAAGTCACGTATTACACATAATATTATTTCGAAATTAATGTTTATCGCTTCTCGACATGACATTTTGAATAACATATCAAATTTGAACGGGAGCAAGATAACCAGCCGTTCTTTACAATAATAACTTTTTTTTAAAAAAAATAATTGCTGCTATTAGAAACCAGGATTTATTTCTGACACATAATTTTAATATATACGGTAACATATAACCAATTATACACAGCGTGTTGTTCGATTCATAACTCACTTGTCGCGCCGTAGTTCCATACAAACGCGATGTTTTGGTAAAATGAATGTGTGGATAAAGTTTTTTGCTGTAAGGGCACCCTTACGTAATTAAAGAAAGACAAATACAATAATGAGAAAAGGAAACTTTACAAACTCGCGTAGAAAATACATCACATCGTCTACATACTTTCTCATGATATATCGCCCCAATAAGAGCCAAGAGCACACCCCCTGTAACTGATGTCTCTCCAGACCGCATGATCAACTGGCCATTTTTCTTGGCTTCTTGCAGTTGAATATGATTTATCTATAGACATCAATTATGGTCAATATTTAGACACGCGTGATGCAAAGCTGAACGTTGTGAGACTGGAGATACCGGCAAGAATCGAATGAGTTTGTTTAATCCGAGTTCTGTTCCAATAGATCCCAGCGCGTCATCATCTTTTAATTCCTTCACTGTCTCTAATAACTCGCTGGATGGGACTTTATTCAGCAGATATTCAGCACCATATAACTGAA